TATATATATATATATATATATGTGTGTGTGTGTGTGTGTGGAGCATGGGCGGACCTGATGTGGTGGCATGGGTGGCACGTGTCACCGTATTATTTTGCGATCGAAGGGTAAAAAATTTAGGTTTGTTAACGGTGCTACCGTATCGTTTTAGAAGGTGCTACCGTATTTCCCTGAAATTCAAATGGTGCAACTAAAACCCAAACAAAACAAAGCCCAAATAACCAAAACCATACTTTTTTGTAATTATTTTTGGGTATATATTGACCGTTTTCAAAAGATGAAGACACGTCGGGTACAAGTTTATGAGTTGTTTATCGGTACTTAGGGCTGTAAACAACCGAACGAACACGAACGGAGGCTTGTTCATGTTCGTTCGTTTAACTTAACCGAACAAACGAACGAACACGAACGGTAAACGAACGAAAATCTTTGTGTTCGTGTTCGTTCGTTTAGAAATAAGGTGTGTTCGTGTTCGTTTATGTTCGTTCGTAAACATGCTAAACGAACGAACATAAACGAACGGGCTAAAAGAACATAAACGAACATAAATAAATATTATTTGAATTCAAAGTAAATAAATAAAAGATAATATATTAAACTTAATATATAAACAAAAATAAACGAACATAAACGCACGTAAACGAACGGTAAATGAACGAACGTTCACGAACATAATCGAACGAACGAGACTCTTATTCATGTTCGTTCGTTTAACTAAACAAACAAAAAAAAATAGTTCATGTTCGTTCATTTATTAAATAAACGAACATAAACGAACTTCCCGTCGAACGGTTCACAAACGGTTTGCTGAATGTTCGGTTCGTTTACAGCCCTATCGGTACTATAGAAACCATATTTTTTGTAATTATTTTTAGATATATATTATACTATATTAATTATATGGTGCCACCGTTTAAAAAAATTTCTGGGTCCGTCCCTGGTGGGGAGTCCGTATATATTCATGTAAAATGAAATGGACATTAAATAAAGGTCAAAATTGCAAAGTGAGGACAAAATAGGAAAAAGTAAATTCCGTTGGTGTCTGAGAGGTTGCCACATGGCTGCAATATTTGTAAAAATGTGACCGGTTCTGAAATTGATTACAGGATAGTCATGATCAGTTACGGATTCGTAGTTCTAAAATCATCTGAAACGGTTGTAGAGAATAAATATAACGAGTCACAAAACTTGGTATCAGGACTCAAAGAATTTTGATCATTTTGTTTGAAAAAATAGCCTAAAGAAATTCCATGTTGGCAAGAAACTCCAACCAATAGATGTGGTCGTTTGTTAAGCACCGACTAGCGATTTGTTTTTTGTAAAGTATATAACATTGATATTCAGAAAAACTCATTATTCTCAACAGATAACCGAAGACGAGACTTAAACCTTTAAACTCCTAAGAGATAGATCTACCGACAATACAAATGCTACCAGGCTGTCCAGGCCATTGACCCTAAAGGGTTGTATACTTACGGTTAATGAAATTAACAGTCTGGAAAACCTTTTTCAATCAACCAATACATTAAGCCACTACCAAACATTCATATACAATCGACCAAATAAGCCGAGTCCTATTAAGCTGCTAACTAAAAGACTCTTAATTATTAAGCCATGAAGCCAAAATGACTATATAGAGTAAACCATAACCCCTCACTTGTCCCCATTAAGCCACCTCAATGAAATCAATACCATAAAAAACCCAAAACAACTCAAGCCGCTCTCTTTACCTCCCTCAAGCCCACCAGTCATCTGCCTTTCAAACATATAAATTTATCCAAACAGACAACTTAACCCATACAGTATTTGGCCAAAAGAAAAACCAAACCCTATGGTTAATAGGGTTTTAGAACAAAATATTGATCAACAAGACACAAGAATCTTTGAAGCAACCTCAATAAATGACCCAAAAAAAAGGTGGCAAATTTAACATCTCACAACTGAAAGCAAAACAATTAAATATAAGAGTATGATATGCCATACAACCTCTACTAAAATTACAACACTCAAAAGTCCAATATTAAAAGAGGGGATAGTAGTATGTTTTTAGTCAACATCCAAGTCTTGAGAACACCATGGTTTTGGGTAAAAAGTGTGCAAATATGGTCCGAACTTGAAACCCGAATTGCACCATCATCAACTTCAAACGGGTCTTCCATGTTGACTAAACCTATGTGCTCGGTACAGCTGCTTCGGCCTTCTCCTCGGAAGCCCCTTCCGCTGCCTTGCTGGTTGCACCCGTCTTTGTTTCCGCTTCTTGACCTACAATGTGAAAACCTTGTTACTATCGTGCAAAGAAACTAGGTTGTAAGTTAGGGCGAATTTGGTACATAGACATGACTCAATGGGCGGGAATATAGGTTTTAGGGTTTTAATTTTGACATTGGTATTTTAATGATTTCCCAAGCTTGCCTCATCTGTGGTTTTTGTTCCCCTTATTTTGGTGGAACGGAAAAGAAATGCATTTTTGTCCCACCCAAGTGCTGTCTTGTCCTGATCTCATCACTCCGAACACGGGACAAGCTTTTGTACGGTCATGTTCAGCAAACCAGAACACACCCCTAAGGACCCAATAAACAATCCTTTTTCACAAACACAAGAAACTAAAACTTATATCCCTTCTATACAAGCCATGTAAAATGAAATTTGGGTAAACCAAACAAACCCAAAATGTCCCACTCAGAAATAGGATATGGGGAACTAAGATGTATGCAGACTTGCCCTCTACCCAAAACAGTAAACAAAGAGTAAACTTCTAGCAGCATTCCAATTTTAGCAAGTTAGGAGAACAGTTCGTATATGGATTACAACATTTGCGGTTATAAGAGCGTTAATTAGGTACCTTCATCATCGCTATCTTCAAGATCATCAGCCATTGAAAAATCACCCATGTCGGGCATACCACCCATACCGGGCATCCCCATACCGCCCATGCCGGGCATTCCCATGCCCCCCATTCCGGGCATCCCCATGCCCCCCATTCCAGGCATCCCCATGCCGCCCATGCCACCCATGTCACCAAATTTCTGCAAGAACCCGTTTGATAGGAGAAGTCATTAACAAGATTAAACAGAAATTAAATTATACTTTTAAACCATAATTTCCTTACCGAGAAATCCATTCCTCCCATGTCAACATCCGTGGGACCTAACACAAGAAAGCAAATATTAGGGGTATGCAAAACCCAAGTGGTCCGAAAAGCCGAACCCGAACCAAAAAAGAGGTGTTTGTGCAAAATCCCAAAAGCCCCGATCAAATTTGTGTATGCATGATAAATTAACAATGGTGGAACCGATTAATAGCAAATTGGAATACGGTATAACATACCGGCTTCGTCATCTTCATCTACCCATTTGTCCCAATCAACTTTCACATAATGCGGGGTCTTGCCATCTCCGGACAGAAGTTTCTTCCACCATTTCGGCTCAGCTTTCTCCAAAATACAAAACACACTTCTCTCCCCGGTATTTATTTTGCTCTCCTACATAAAGGCAGCAAAAAATCAAACATTAAATTACTAAAAAGGGAAGTAAGAACGGAAGGTTAAAATTTTCTATTGACGCTTGCTAGAAATGTAGAACGAGAAAAGATTATGTAAATATGGCTTACATAATTGAAAAACCCCAAACCACAAAAAGCTCATTTGTTTAGGGGAAAAGTCCAGAAAAACACAATGAGCTTTACCATTTTGAATGATCAAGTCCCTAAGCACTCTTTTCAGATATATAAACCATTGAACTTCTTCATTTTGGATTACCAAGTCGATGAACATTTTTCTTGAATAAACGAACTTTTAGAAATTGGTTACCTACATCCTTTTAACTCAAAAAAGCAACTTGTAACTGGCTAGAATAGTTTCAACTTTCAACAGTAAAAAGAAGTTTAATCTAACCATTCCCAAACCCTAGCCATTCAAACCCCTTGCACCGAACGCCATTGCTCCCCCTCGCCTGCCAATTGCCATCCCAGCTATCGATCTCCCTCTTTGTATGTCTTTTGTCTTTCAATTCTCCCTCTCTTCAAACAATCTAATGGGGTACGTATAGACGGATAAAAAAGAGGGAAAATCGGAATACAAAAAAAATCAAAAGAGGGAGATCGATAGCAAGGGCCAAAGGTGGCGATGGAGAGCGGACTACAATGCGGTGGCAACGTGTAGTGATGGCCTACGATGCGAGTGGTTTGAATGGTGTAGGGTTTGGGACCAGTAAAACTAATTTATGTTTTTTTTTTACTTTAAAACATTCCTAGCTGGTTACAAGCAGCTTTTTGGGTTAGAAGCATGTAGATAACCAATTTCTAGAAGTTGAATAATTTATTTATTCAAGATACTTCATTAAATTTGGAACTAGTAAGTAATTGCAACCACCGAACTAATTTTGGAACAATGATCAACTCATACATTAAAAGGGTAATTGGTCTGTTGTGACTACAAAAGGGGTTTCAAAGTGAAGAACTACTTACGTCTACATTAACTTTGTCGAAAAGCTCAAGCTTCAGGTCATACTGATGTGTACCAGCCGTAGCAGAGAATGTAAAAACTCCTTCGGGAGCAAGATTGACCTTGGCATCTTTGGTATCGGCCAATAGCACCGTGATGAAAACTTTGTCTTCCCTCTGAGCCCACTTCACCTCGGGAATGCGACTACTAAGATTAAAACGTTTCAGAATTTCGTTAGCTACATGAATAAGCACAGAAATAAGAGAGTTATACTCTGTTATTCATCTTCACTTGTTTGTTTGTAGTTGTTGTTTTGTGACGTATCTTGTTGAACTTCAATTTGTTTCTGAACTCTCGTATGATTCGCAAGTGATTATGTTTTGGGGGTTTGAAAAGCTAGGTGATCAATTAGCATCTGTCCCCTCGAAAGATTAGCAGTTGTGGAGTATAATTTGGGATTTGAGCAATCAATTAGACTGGATAATTTGCTATTTTTCAATTAATTCATTGCTCACAAAACCCACCATTTATTGCTCAACATATAGCTACCAAATACCTAGAAATCTCAATAAATATACCAAACAAGAAGTAATTGCCTCGCCAACTATTTACCAAATACAAGACAACATCAACATTTCCAACCAATAATGTTGTCAACAAATTACTTTCTCTAAAACCACTTGACCTAAATTCTAAGTTGCTAAATACATCAAAACATAAGCAAAAACGTATAAAATATTACCACCATCCAGCAAACTAATCAAAACATCCCAATCATTCAGTCCAATTAATTGCAAATCCCAAATTAAACTCCCGAACTGTTCATCTTTCGAGGAGAGAAACAAAAATGCTAATCAATCACCTTACCTTTCCAAAACCCCAAACATAATCACTTCCAATCATACGAAAACAAAGCAAACTTCAACAAAATACGCCATAAAACAACAACAACAACAACAACAAACAGTGAAGTACGAAAAGGATAACGCAAGATCGAAGGAAATTAAATTGAAATCTGCGAAACAGTAGGAAGAACAGAAGATTACCTCATCTTTGGTATCTAGAAGAGGAAAGAAGAAAGCGAAAGAAAACCCTAGAAACGCAGTTAAGCTCTGAAAAAGGGTGAGCTTGATTACTTCCCTTTAGTACCGGATGGCTTCTCTCTTAAACCCTTAAAAGATTCCAAAAGCGTTGTTCATGTTGGGCTTTCTTTAGAGCCCGTTTCACAAAATTGGGCCAGAACTTTTGGCCCAATTGTTTTTGGGCCTTCAAAATAGTTTTTAAGCCTTTACTTTCGATGGGCCTAGCACTCAATAGTCAATAAAGATAGGAAAGAAAAATAAGGGGGTGTTTGGGAATTGTGATTGCTTATAAAAAACAACTTATTGACTTATTCTGGTGTGACATCGGTAATAAGAATTTTTGAGTGTTCAGATAAACAGTTTATACTGATGCTAAACCGGTAATGAAAAGTTTTTTAATAAGTTAAATTATTCTAACTTATAATAAGTTGATAAAGATTTTTGTAGAAAAATATAAGTTGTTTCAAATAAGCAATCCCAACACGCCCTAAATCTTCAACCCCAATTTATAAAGTCAATAAATGGAAGTTTACCAAATGCTTATTTATTAAGTACTTATCGGGTTATTTTACCTTACGAGATGATATGACAAGGACCGATAATTTTATCTTACGAGGTGATATAACAAGTTTTCATGTGTTGTTTCACATACGAAACAATATGTGTGAAAATGTAATTTTTTTATACAGTGTTATTTACTCGTTTCATATGTGAAACATTCATGTTTGTTTTGTATGTGGAAAAAACAGTCTTGAACATTTCACATATAAAACAACACTCTTTAAACACTACATATTGACATGTATTGTTTCCAGTATGAGACAACACAGGAAAGCTTGTACTTGTAGTTTTTTTTACTATTTAAAAAAAAATACAGAGAATTTGTAACAGCAAAATAAAAAACAGAATATTAATTTTTTTTTTTCTATTATAGAGAATTTGTTAGAGATGCTCTTATATTTTATCAATCATAGTAAACTATATTAAACCATTAGGAAAATTAGACATATCATGACTTATTACCGTCAAGCTTCGATTTATACCGTCCTACTTAGTCAGTCTTTTTTATTTATTTATAAATGTTGATAAGATTATTTCAGATATATTTTACAAACATTTAAGCACTTATATATTTTCATTTTTTAGTCACTGATTTTCCAAAATTTTGTCTTCAGAATGATACCAATCATGAATCGAAAAGTCTTCCATGAAGAAAGGCCCGTGGGGTGACTGATGAGCGTTGAATATGTTACACTGTGGGACCGAGGCAACATCTGTCTCATCAATAATCAAATGGTCAAAATAATTACTTTCTAAAATTTTGTCATATTACAGGTTGAAAGCAAATAAATCCATTATGTTGGTTAGACCATTTGATACGTTTAGATTGACAAATTCAATTGAACGTGTCACATACAACCACTAAATACATCATTTTCTATATTTTAGAGAATTTGTTGGAGATAACTCTGACATAAATGATAAATATGAATGAATATGAATACTCCCTCCATCTCAAATTAAGTGTTCATATTACTATTTTAGTTTATTCTAAAATAGGTGTGTTTTAAGGGTAAATTGAATGAAAAAGTAACGTACTTTGACTTGATTCCTAGGTAACCGGTTGAAGACTAATTTTAGATTTGAAAATTCCATGTAACTATCCACGTTAGCAAATAATCTGAGTTGGATATCACATCACTCGCCATATTAGCATGATAACCGATTAATGCTTCAACCGGTTACCCAGGTACTTAAATGTTTAAAATTTTACATCTTAGGTATCAAAATAAAAGTTTTGAAAGTACATTATCCAAAATAAAAATCAGGTTAAAGTATTTTACTTTTTTCATGCAATTTGCGCTATTTCCAAAAGTAAGTTTTCAATTTCTCGTTCTACCCTTAATTATGAGATAGACGAAAATTTCTCTCTCTATTATCGCGAGTCAAAACCTCATTTGGTTATTTAAAAAATGTAATAATTACATATTTTTCTAAAAATGTGTGTCATTCTAATCGTGGACATCTATTTAGGGATTTTTAATATCGTTTTACACGATGACCCCCAACTTTTTATTCATCTGTTAAATATGATTATAAAAATTAACAATTACAATAACAGACAACAATAATGTAACAACTCTATTCACATAGAAAATGAGATCTGTAAGATTTTTACAAGTCTCAACTTGTGAGCCACCAATAACGTACAGTCCATTACATTTTTAAATTGGATTCAAAGTTATTAAATCAGTTTGTTGCTTTGTGCTTTTGGGTGTTACAGATAATATGATTTAAGAGCAAAAATATAAATTCCAGATCAACTCAAATACTGTAACAAGTATTGTCCACATAATAACTTGTGGATGTGGTTTTACTTTAGAAAATACTATTTGTTAACAAACTAGTTGTGTACCCGCGCAATGCGGCGGGAGCCATGAATTTTAACGATTTTGAAGTTTTACTGGTTTTATAAGATAAGATTTAACAATAATATAGATTACACTTGGTCTTTACATATTAATACAATTTGAATAAATAAGAGTTATGGTTCCAATTACAGACTATCGATGAAAAAATTTGTATGACAGTTTAAAATCCAATATATTTAAAATTAAACATATTTAAACGACTTCACAAATGTATTCGATTTACACCAAGAGCAAAGAACCAAGAAACTTGAGTTTTAATATAAACACTCAAAACCAATAAAGAAAACTACAAAGTTGACATATCATAAGCTATGAAAAGACAAAAAAAGATGGGTTTTAGAATGAAATTTCAACTTTCTTGTCCAGAAACTCAGATTAAGATTGAATTAATACATGTATATATATATATATTTCAAAAAAACCCAAGAACATATTAATTCAAAACATATTATACAATGCAATTTGAACAGCCTAACCTCAAAATATATAGTATATATATAAATAAATAACTATAAAAGTATAAATCGTAAATATTAAAAATATTTTTTCACAGTATATATAATATATAAYAATATAATTAAGTCAAAAACTATTCAATATTGGACTCATTTCGAAGGTAYTAACGAGACGATTATAATAGTGTAACTTGTTAAAATAAAAATGTATTTCTTAAACATGTTTTAATTGATATACGATTATGTATGTTAATTTGATAAAAGGTTTAAAATGAAACATTTAAAAATAAAGGACGTAAAGTAAATTAATTAATTAATTAATTATAGGGGTATAAAGGGTTGGGTTCACGTGAGACCAGACTGTTTTCGTGAGACCCGTGAGACCACATTTTTACACTTGAAACTTCACAGCAAAAACACTGTGAAGGTTTGTGAAGGTTTAAAAAAGTCGAACCTTCACAGCATTTTGCTGTGAAGTTTCAAGTGTAAAAAGCTGGTCTCACGGGTCTCACGAAAACAACATGGTCTCACATGATCCCAAGTCGGGGTATAAAATATAAATTTAAAATTATAATTTTAAAAATATGTTGTGAGAGGGTGAGTGTACGTGAGGAGAGGAGGGGGTGAAAAAGTGAAAAAGTGAAAAAAATGAGTATAAAGGGTATTTTGGTCATTTAAAATTTTAAGACTTTAAGACTTTTGTTAAATTTGCTTAATAAGATAGTATAGATAAACTCACACTCTCCTCACTTTTGGTGAGACTTGAACCCATGTCCTTTCAAGAAGTCAAAGACTACAATACCACTAGACCAAAAACCATTTGGTTTGTTTCCATTTTTTTTCACTTGCTTTTATAATCTAAATGAAGAAGTGATTTCTATCTTGACAAAAGAAAAGTTAAAGCTTTGGTCCAAGATGGTTGAGCCCACTTGGCAAGATGCTCTGGGTCAATAAAAGAGCGATTCAAAATGGTTCCCACGTATCATCATTAGAGATGGCCAAAAACCGGTCCCGGGCCGGTCTCAATTGGTCCTCACTATTCTCATAACCGGCCATAACCGGTCCCGGCGTAACCGGTCCCGGTCCCGGTCAAAAATGATAGGACCGGTATAGGTACTTTATAACCGGTTATGGGCCACCAGTCCCAACCGGTCCTTCATTAAAAAAAATAAGATTTTTTATTTTATTTTTTTAATGATATATATTTTTAATACATTTTAAAATTTACAATTGGGTCACTCAAATACATTTTAAAAATGCGTTTTAATATAATTAAAATTACGTTTTCTTATAAAAATACATTATAAAATTATTTAAAAATACATTTATTTATAAAATTAATTGAATTTTCGGGCCGGGCCGGGCCGGTCCATAGTCGGTCCCGGTCCCGGTCCCGGTTGGTCCCGGTCCCACGAAACTACCAAAAACCTCAACCGGTCCCGGTTTTCGGTCCCATAACCGGTCCTTACCGGTCCCGGTCCCAGGCCGGTCCTTTGTCGGTCCCGGTCCCGGTCCCGGTTGGTCCCGGTCCCACGAAACTACCAAAAACCTCAACCGGTCCCGGTTTTCGGTCCCATAACCGGTCCTTACCGGTCCCGGTCCCAGGCCGGTCCTTTGTCGGTCCCGGTCCCGGTCCTCCGGCCCCATTTGGCCATCTTTAATCATCATAATAAAAGCATAATCGGTAGCAAAGTTATAAAAATGGTCAGAAAGTGACTGTTCGTTCTATGCCACCAATGTCGTTGCAAGGTTCGTACGTGGCTGCCCACACGCATTGATCAGATCACTGATAGGCTATAAGAGACTGATGAATTTCAAATCGAGCTCATGTTCGAGATCGGAAATCCGTAAGTTGGCTTATTTTTTGAACTTATTGAAGAAACCTTGTTTGGGTTTGGATTAGGGATGCACATGGGTTGGATTGGCCAGGTTGAAGGCATTTGAATAACCCAACACAATGTCTGTAGTTTGAAAAAATCTCAACCCAACCCAGCCTAATCAAAACTACATCCGAACATAACCATAACTGTCCGTGTTGGGTTGGGTTGGGTTGATCGAGTTTAATCGTTGGTAATCATTTTATAATCTAGCTAATAAATTTTATTTAAACGAAATAAAATCAAAATGAGAACATACAAAAAAGACTAATAGACTAAAAAAACGT